GATTATTGACCAGTTAACATTTCCCTTAAATTAGACTGTCTGTGCCATAATCACAGCATAAGACACAAATCAGTAGGTGTAAACATGGCACCTCATAATGATTGCTGCATTGCCTCTGCATGATGGCAATATGTACACCTCCTTCTGGGCCGGATTACCTGAGCTCCAGTGTACCTTGGGCCTTCCAACATTGTGCCCCGTGTGGAGGAGGACTCCACTCTGACCCCACTGGGTGGCTCATGCAAAATGGGCAAAACCAGAACTGTGGGGACATGTAGAGGCCTGGCAGGACCCAGGAGCTCACCCATCAGTTACAAGCTACGTCAAAAATGACTCTTTAGAACAGCAGGGCGCTGGACTTGATGCTGTTACACCAAAATGGACTTTGTGGCTACCTAAACCTCTCCAATACCGACTGCTGCTTTTATATCCCTAATGTTGCACAGGAGCTCGATGTGCAGCTAGAGAAGATGCGGCAGGTGGTGAAAGATGCCCAAGAATTCTGGGAATCAATGAACACTAGTTGGCTGGCAAAGGGGTTCAGTTGGTTTGGACTTGGTGTCACTGGTTGGATCCAAAGTTTAATAGAGCATGTGATAATGATCATTGTGATGATAATTATCCTAAGTATAGCAATATCCTCTGTAAAATCAGCTATAATGAAAGCTGTTACCGTAAGGCTGATTCAGCTTACCGCTTCTACCCCTTTACAAGCAGGTGACCCAATTGACATCCCAGTACTAAGACTCTAACTTGAAACGAAATTTCAATATGCAAAGGTGACTGGAGTCACCAGGTGGATACCCAAAGTTTGTTACAAACATTACTTACTACTGTAACTGCAGTAATTGTTGGGCACCATGTGCGGTACCGTCCACGTGCGTCCTGCACTTCCTCACCCATTTCGATAATTATGTTTTGTATTACTGCTGCCTCAGGAATAACCCAGGTCGTCCTGGTTTGCAGCAAGGGCAGGTCTGCTAGCTGAAGAAAGGCAGCGGCCGCGTCGCTGAGGCCGGGGCCGGCGCGGGCTGGCGCAGCCCACGCGGGTGTTTTCATCCCGCCCTTGTTCCCACAGAGCTCAGGTTTTCTGCCCTGCAGCAGGCCCTGCCACCATTTCCTTGTCACCCTGAAAGCAGCTGCTTTGCAACTTTGATGTGATTTTCTTTATTCATGTGTGCTTAGTGCCAGTTCCTCTGGTTCTGCCACTTTCCCTGCACACCTTTAATGTTCCTCCATGCTCATAGTCACAGTCCCACCTGTGAACATTCAAAATATGAATCTGTTTTTTATGGTGATCTTCTGATGATCAAATCCTTGTGTGAGACTTAAAAAAACGAACAACAAAGGGAAAAAAAAAAAAAGGATTTCTCTTGCTCTCCTGTTCTTCTGTTTTCCTATCTGTATGAAGTTCGATTTCCAACACTGCAAATTAAAGCATCTGGGGAGACTTTTGCCCTGCCTTCTTCCCTGCGAGGCCACGGGACAAACTGAGCTGGCCGAGTAGCAGCGCAAGCTGGTGCTCAGTCCCCCTCCGTGTGGCTACTCCCTTTTCAAGTTTCACTTCCTTTGGGGCAGGTTGGGGCTTTTTTTCCTTGTCAAAACATAAAACTGAACAATGATACAGAAGACCTGTCCCTATACCTGGAGACAAATTCCTGCGCATTTGTCCACAAACACTGTAATTTTTAACCAGTGCTTTACTGAATAGCAGTGCTTCAGCTTCCTGAGCGTTTACTGAAAGACAGACGGGATCTCTTTCTGTATCTCCACCCACAACCTTTTTGAGCTTTCACAGGAAAAAATCATACTGTAAAAGAATTAAAATCATGAATCGTTGCAGGGTTATTTTCCAGAGTTTCTACACAGCCTGAAATACTATTTCCGAGGAGCACAAATGGGGTATTAGATGTCGAAGTTTTAAGGTGACATTTAAAATGTTACTGCTGCTAACTGCTTTAAGTGCTCGTTATTCCAGCAGAAATCTGCAGCCCGTGTGCTCATCCTGGGTCTTTGTGCTATCAAACATGTCTGCAGCGAGCCAGACCTTCAGTTTCTCCCAAAACAACTTTTTAGATGAGCAGTACGGAAGAGGTAACCTTTCACAAAGGAACGTTTTGCTTTTCATTAAATAGAGTAAAACAGAGAGAAAAGATTTTTTTTTATGAGTAGGAAAGATAATATTCTTATAAATTGATTGTAAGAATTGCAATTCACAGTTTCCTTTCTACCGTAAGAGTGAGAACAGCATGAAGCCCCCCTGCAGTGTCAGTGCAATGACACTCGCCCTGGGGAATTTCTCTCTGGAGGTGGATCACTCCAGGCAGGGCACTAGGGTCCTTCCCAGCCCCTCTCCTTGCCAGTTCCCAGTGTCGTGAAAGCTTTTCCCTCAGTGCTGCCTTCCCAGCTCAGGACTGGAAGAGCTCGGGGGGTTGTCTGCGAGGCAGAGGCAAAAGGGCACCTGGTGACAGGCCATGGAAAAGGCACCGGGGGACAGGAGCGGAGGAGGAAATTTTGGGTTTATTCAGGTTTCTTTCAAGCAGGTATGGGCAGGGTGACGGAGTTGTCGTGTGTGAGCAGTTTAACAAGAACCACGCCATGGCTGCCTCATAAAAATGTTTGCAATGTGCTGCAGTTTCTGCAGATTTCTTAGGAATTATAGCATTAGTTCAAACAGGAATCAAATAATACCTGGGGCTCTGGTTATCCCCTTTCACAAGAGGGGAGCTGTTTCATCCTGCTGCGCTGCGGGCTGCCGTTTACGGGCATCCGTCCCCCCGACACGTGGAGCGAGGCCATCTCTGCTCGCCCGGCTCCAAGCATCCTCGCGTCTGAGGACCAATTCCACCCAGTTCTTTTCAGGGTTAGAGGGTCAGACCTAAAATTCACCTAAATTTAATTTCTAAAATCATTTCCTGACTTTTGTTTCCCTCACTGTGCGGCTGTGTGGGTAACGTTTTGACATAGTTTTACGCAGTTTAGAAGGGCACAATCATGTGAGCACACTCAGTTTTCAGCTCGGCCCGTCATGGTGTGCTCTCTGTCCGCAGGGCTGCTGAGGGGCTTGGGTGGCGCTTGGTTCTGTGGCAGGCACAGAAGGTTCCCAGCTAAGCCCTTAACAAGGGGACTCAGGCATCCTGCTGACATTTTACTTTTCCAGGTCCCAAATGCAACAGGGACATTTTACTTTTGCAGGTCCCCGAGAGCAGCTGTGACACCATATGGGGGGTATCTGAAGTACCTGCATGCCAGGCTGCCAAAGCTGCTCTGATGTGCCCTGTGCCACAGTGTGTGGTGGCTTCAGCTGCTCGTGTCTAGATCCTAGTGGGACCTGCAGTTCACGCATTTCTCCCCGTGTCCTGCTCCTAAGATTCAGTCCTTTAATCCTGTCCAGGAAAGTCAGGTTCTTGTATGAGCTGGACAGACCTTGAAGAAATCATGAAGAGAAGAAAGAAGTAATTATGTAGTCCAGATCCACATCAGATCTCTCTCTTTTTCTGGATCTGGAGTAAGAATTTAAACCCAGCTGTCTGGGGATAGTTCCCTCGTATCCCAGAGGAAGAAGCTATTTGTGTAGGGCCTTTCCTACTGGAAGTGTCCTAGCTGAACACTACCGGTCAGTGTTCTAACAGCTGTGCTGTGTGAGGCCCGAAGGATGGGTTTGAGCCCCCCAGTCTGCTCTTCAGCAGTGGAAACATCAGATGGGCCAGGGCTGGCAGAGCTGCAGGTGGCTGTTTGCCTGCTGGCAGGAGAATGAGGAACTAACTACGAATATTTCTGTTTGACCAACAGAAAGCCACACATTTCTTGACAGGTATTTGGAAATACTAATTCCACCCATTGTGGGTTGCAAGACGGGAGTTTCTTAAGATTTTTGGCTCTTTCCTTTTGGTTGTTGTGCAATCTCATTAAAGAAGACAGTAAAATGATCCAGAGAGGCAAAAACCACTAGGCTTTAGTGTGTTGATCTATTCACCAACACAAGATCTTTCTGGTAAGGACATCCACTATTAACTGACACAGTTGTCATAAGGGAGAGGCTTATCAATTAGCAAAGCAATTAGCACAATTACCATTGCCTGTTCCAGGAAATGAAATAAAGATAAAAATGAAATAAAATTGCTGTAGCGTTACTACGCCCTGATACACAGGGGCCTCAGGCTCCTGAAGAGTTGCCTCAGCCCTGCGTGCCAGGTAAGGAGGATGCTCACGTCCAGCCAGAGGAGCTGCTTGGGTGAGCCTTACTCACCCATCACTGGTAATGGAGTAATTCTGGTTACAAAGTCAAATAAGAGGATTAAAAAAAAAAAAGGGGGGGGAGCAAATCTAGATCTGAAGACTAAAGGTTTTAGCTGCATTTATTGTGAAGAGAGACCCTTTTTTGAGACTACAAGGATGTCCCTTTGCCTAGTTACTTACTGGGCAGAGGTTACTCAAGAAAAGTCAGATAAGATCTGAAAACCTGAATTTCAAAGTCTACTAAAAATCAACCGGCTCTGAATGTCATTTGCCCATTTCTGGTAGTTCAGTTTCCCTGTGCCCCCTGAATAAAGTGCTCCAGCTGAGCCCTGGGGTTTTCCAGGCTGGCTGTGGAGCCCCCCTGCACGTGTCAGTTCTGCCACCAAAGCCAGAGCGTGGTGCTTGGTGGTTGGTGCGGAGGGTGTTTTGTGCTTCATCACTCAGGGAGCTCTCAGACAGGGACTGGTTCATCAGGGCTGCTAAGGGGGCTGCACCTGACGCCTGCCCAAAGCCCCCCACAGCCCAGCTCATCAGCAAACAGCTCCACGGGCCCGCTGCATCCACAGCCCTCGTGAACCCTGCTTTGCTTCGGGAAGTGAGTCCTGGGAAATTCCCAAGTACCTCCCAAGTACCGCCCAAGTAGCTACAGCTGTGGAGTAGTGCAGGGCAGAGGAAGAGGAACTCAAAGGGGCGGGGAAGGGTTATAAAAGGGGTGCAACACAGGGCAGTCTGCAGAGCTGTGCATGCAGGACACAGATAACATGAAGCTTTTCCTAATCCTTGGGTTTTGCCTCCTACCCCTGGTTGCTCCAGGGAAAATCTATAAGAGGTGTGAGCTGGCAGCAGCTATGAAGAAACTTGGACTGGACAACTTCCGTGGATACAGCCTGGGAAACTGTAAGTTGGATGTCTTGTAGTTTCCAGGGGTGCATGGGGTAGGAATTAGCATTTAGGAAACATTGTTGAAGTGAGCAGACTGGTGTGAACACTGTGGTTTGGAAGTTAAGAGCCCACTGAGTTAGTCTATCTCAGCACTGCTGCTCCTTGCCCTGGTGCCTCTCTGTCCGTGTGCATCTCCTGTGTCCTGCATCCTGGGAGGCCAGGGCGGAGCAGGAAGGTAAAGCTGTGGAGCAAGCAGGGCTGGGAGCCAGGATGAGGTGGGAGGCGGGCAGTGAGGGGCATCAGTGGGAGCCTTCCCGACTTGCCTGGGTTGTTAGAAATAGCAATGGAATAGAGGACATGCTGGTCTGGCCATTCCAGAAGGGCCAGCTGGGAAGAAAGAGGCTCCTAGAGACAAGTCAGGAGGTGAGTGGGAGGCCGAAGACTTCTTTTCTCTGATGGGAAGTGGTAATAGACTCCCGTTAAACCCATTGCTTTTTAAGGGAAGTTCACAAGTTTTCCGCTCCAAAATCTGGAGCGTGATTCCCATTTTGACTGCACACTGCCCATGCTTCAGAGACTTAGCCTCCCCATCCTTCTTCCTCTTTGCTGCTCTAGCACAGATGCAGTGACACGAATGGGGCTGCCTCCGAGAGCAGCGGGACCTGCCAGAGCTGCTGCAGAGCTCCGAGTGCCCCACGAGCTGCCCGAGAAAGAAACTGGGCAGAAGGTTCGCGCCAAGAATGGTGCAAACCAGGGGCATGGACGGTGCTGAAAATGTCCCGACACCACCTGGCTTCCCAGGGGGGTCTCGTGAAATCTTACCTGAGCTGCAGTCCTGCCCGCCTAAAGGAGAGCCCTGATTAAAAGCAGGCAGAACCATGCTATGCTGTTTCTGGGTTAATACTTGTTGGGCTTGATTTGCACTTCTATAAGAAGAGCAATTTGCAGAAATCTATTTTGAATTTATTTCAAGATTAGAGATCCCACGTTGGGGTGTCTTAGGACATCTTGAAGTCAAGATATGCTACATATGTTTTATTTATTCATTTATTTATTTTTATATATTTAGTTGGATTAGAAGAAAATAATTCCCATCTATTGCATGCATTTTTATGCAATCATCTTTTAACCAAGAGAAAAGATGGGCTGCATAGCCAGTTAAAAATAATAATAATCCTTCTGTTTGTTCATATTTTTAAATGCACCTTTGGCAGGGGTTTGTGCAGCGAAATTTGAGAGCGACTTCAACACTGGGGCCATAAACCGGAACAGCGATGGAAGTTCCGACTATGGGATTTTGCAGATCAACAGCCGCTGGTGGTGCAATGATGGCCGGACACCAAGGGCAAAGAATGGCTGCAATATCTCCTGCCAAGGTGAGCCCATCTGGTGTTTCTAAAGGCAGTACTGCAGTGGGCTGCCCTTTCACATTCCAAATGCAAACAGGTAAGTGGCAGTTGGCTAGAGCCCTAGCTTAAACAAAACAGACAAAATTCAAGCCCATCTATTTCTCCTCAAAAGGGAGATACCCAGTGTGCTAGGGAAAGGTTTCTTTGCAGCTGAAAGTACATGGCCCTTTTTGTCCACCTTTGTGTTTCTTTAGCAAAAAGATTTCCATAGAAACCAGTTATTAATTAGTAGTTATGACTCAAGAAAAAAATAATTTTACATTAAAGAGAATGAGAACTTGACCCACTGAAAAACCTTGGCCCAAGTGCTAGTCTTGCCATTCCCCTTTGTATTAAAAAGAAGTACTACAGTAGCTCATACGCTGCCCACAGTTCATGCACTGAGACAGGTAGGGAATTTCTGCTTCCTGAGGGCTGAGTAGGCGAGGGTTACATCTAAAGATGTATTTGAAGGCTATTGAAGTGAAAATATGAAAAGAAAAAAAAAGTTGAGATTTTTTTCCTGTTTCTCTTTTTCAGCACTTCTGAGTTCGGACATAACAGCATCCGTGAACTGTGCAAAGAAGGTTGTCAGTGATAAAAATGGCATGAATGCATGGTATGTTTCACTGGGCTAAAAAAAAAAACACCTGCCTTTTTAGAGCACAGACAATGAAGAGGCAGAATATCACTTGTTTTAACATGACCAACTTTAGAAAGAACAGGCAAATTGTAGCAGTTGCCGTATATATATATATTATAATCTAAAACATGTGAGCTGGGTAGCTAAACTGAGGATCAATGAGCATCCTGCAGTATCCGCGGTGTTCTTAAAACTACAATGTGCAGCAAACTCTTCATACCGCGTCAGCTTCCTACTCCTTTTAGTAGAGGACTGGAAGAGAAATTATTCACTGTTTAAAAAAAACATGACATAAATATGGCATGCATGTGACTAGTTTTCTCTGTAGAGAAAACATGCATGTCACTAGTTTTCTCCTTCTGTGGAGATCTTCCAAACCTGCCTGGATGTGTCCCTGCTGGAGCAGGGGGTTTGGACTAGACAATCTCTAGAAGCCCCTTCTAGCCTCAACCATTCTGGGATTCTGTGATTTTGATTTTTGACTGCAAAGCAGACAATAAGCATCTCATTCCTCTTTAACAAAGCCAAGTTATTTAAATTTGCTGCTTTCACAAAATAATAATATAAAACAAAGCAGCCTAGCCTTAGGTCCACCCTAAGTCTTCTCTCTCTCAGCTCTTGCTGCCTCTGAAGGTGGCACTTTCTTTTTAATTTCCGTGCCACTTGCTGGCAAGCACTAAAGGGCCAACTTTAATGGTCGTTCCTAGCACGGAAGGAAGACTAAGCCTCACCTACCTCTGGTGGGCTATAATACTCATTTACCATTAGCTCAGAAAGATGGACTTTCCTAATTGATCGTTCCAGTTGATGAACATCTGGGCTTTCTGGAGTCTACATTCCAGTATGGAAAATGCTTTTATCTCCTCGGATTTCTTTACATTACTCATATACCAATATTCTTGTATACTCTCAATAGTTCAGAGGGAAAGTGAGCCCTCTCTTTTTCCTAATTAGTAAAACAGATCCTGTGAGTAAGAACTGCAGGCATGTTTTTATTTTGCCTCTTAGTGAACCACAATACAAAGAAGCAAGTCCCTGATAGGGGCAGCTGACAGTCAGTGGATACCATGTGTTTTTACCCAGCTTGTAAGAGACTTTTGGGAAGTTTTGGCAAATGACTTGCCATATAAACCTTCTGCAGGAGTTAGCTCAGTTAATTAAAGCCCTTCCATACTGATTCCTGAGTCAACCTCAACTAATTGTCATCATCTTCCTCACCGCAGGGTCGCATGGCGCAAACACTGCAAAGGAAAGGATGTCTCCCAGTGGGTCAAAGGCTGCAGACTGTGAGCACTGATGTTTTGCAGCACCATCTGAATGCACAGCTTTCACACAAAGCTGGCTGCCTCTCCAGCGTGCTTCTTTACACATTTGCTTGCAATCAAAATAAAATAGAAAGTAATTACTGCAACACAGCCAATATGCAAAGAGTCAGTGTCTTATACCTCGCTGATGGAATGGCTGGTATTTCCACTGCCTGGCTTGTTACTTTTGCTATGGGTAGGCAAGATCACAGATATCTTTTAGCTGAAAACTTGTTAGTTTTTCAAAGTGCATGCCAGCATTTTACTTGCTTGACAGCTTAAATGTATCCGTCATTAAAAATACCTGCAAACGGCTTTCCTTTGGTTGATATACTCGGTTTGGTACCGTTTCATACGCACCACCCGTAGCTGTATTCCTACGGACACGTGTTCGTAGCCGCGAGGATGGCGCTCCCGGCTTCCAAGTGCGGGGAAAACAAACCAACAAACCCACAAAAAAAACCGTTACCGGCCAACGGCCGCAGCGCGCGACCCCGCCCCCGGCGCCTCCCATTGGGCCGCGGCCCTAAGGTGCCGGGCCCCGCCGCCGGGAAGGGGGCGGTGGGGGGCGGGGGGAAGAGCGAGGGCCCGTAACGGTCGTAACGGCCGCGCGGCGGCGCGCGCTGCCCGGTAACGGCCGCGGGCGGGAGCGCTCCGGCCTCTCCGCTGAGATAACAAGGCAGACTCGGCCTGAGAGCGCCGTACCTGGCGCTGGAAACAGCCATTAGACACCCGCTTTTCGAAGTGCATGAAGCTTTCATTATTACCTTTCATTTGCTTTTATTTATTTATTTATTTATTTTGCTGGAGTGCTTGACAACGAGCTTTCTATTTATTTCTGTTTCTTTCTTTCTTTATTTTTCCCTCCGAAGGGCGTTACTATTGTGAAGCCAATAGTGTATGGCAACGTCGCGCGGTATTTTGGCAAGAAGAGGGAAGAGGATGGCCACACTCACCAGTGGACGGTCTACGTGAAGCCCTACAGGAATGAGGTAGGGGCGCAAAACAGGTCCCTCTGAGCAGCATCCCTGTGGTGGTCCTCGGGATGGCTCTTGTGTCTGTGTTGCTGTGTAGGTAATTAATGTATATATATATTGCTTGTTGTGATTTATCTGCTCTATCCTGCAAGTGTTTAATCTTGTGTTTGTTGTCAGGTAGCTTTGCTAGACTTACAGAAGTTAAGCAAAAGTTGTAAAATTGCCCTTTTTTGTGCATGTGTCTTTAAAGGACATGTGGTGGTTGGCTGCATTACAGTTGTAGGAAGAGATACTCTTTGTTGCCTTGGATTTACAGTGATAGGGAAATGATTTACAGTGATAGATTTACAGTGAAATGCTTATAGGATAATGTGCCTCTTTGGTCTCTAGTGGTGTGGAGAGTGAAGCGCTGTAATGTAAAAATGAATTGGGCTTCAAAGAGGGAGCCAGAGCTTGGTGAAAGGACAGAAGGACATCTGGGCAGCTGGTGAAAAAATACATTGATTGCGAGCTTAAAAATAATTTCATTTTAAGTTTTTGGAATGATTTATTGTGTGGAGAGGAAAATTGTAGAACATTCATAGGGACAAGATATTGAAGGGCATGCGTGACATCATGAACTCTTGGATTTACATGCTTGCTTTTCTCTTTGTTTCTAGCAGTAGCCATGCCAGTAGAAGTGACAGGCATGTAGGATTGACAAGTAAGCAACAGTTTAGTAGCTGCGTAAATAATCACAAATAACTGATTTTCTATTTCAGGATATGTCTGCCTATGTGAAGAAAATTCAATTCAAGTTACACGAAAGCTATGGCAATCCCTTAAGAGGTAGATTTTACATTTTGACAGTTACTTCTAGAGCTAGGATTTGGATTAGTTTGACTGAGACTGGGTTACCTGTACTAATACTTCTGTTTTCCTGTTGCAGTTGTTACCAAACCACCATATGAAATCACTGAAACAGGCTGGGGTGAATTTGAAATAATCATTAAGATATTTTTCATTGATCCAAATGAAAGACCTGTAAGTGCTTCTTTCAGATTTCTGATATTGCTTAGCTAATTATGAGACCATGCTTAAAACTGTGGCGCATGTTATTATTAGCCAAAATAAGTCCCATCGGCCATGGAATTAAGCCCAGTCATTGTAGGAAGTGGTTTAATAGTTAAATAGTTTAATTTAATAGTTGGTGTCTCTGTGCTTTCCTGATGGGTGGGATATTCTTAGGAGCTTTTCCCATACTTAGTCTCTCTAATGTGTTCATTTATTAGGAAACATGTTGCACCTTGTCTGGGCTGAGGACTTATTGAGGGTTTCTCTGCCATGTGGCTTCCTAGTTGCAGAATATTAGAATATTTTGAGGACCTTAAAGATTTCTATGTCTCTTGGATGTGGATTAAATTAGTCAGAAAAGCAGCATAGTTTTGCTTTTTCTCTTTCTTAACTAAGACACTTACACAGAGTATTAGAAATAGTTTTGTTGTGACTTTGTACAGAAGTACTGATGCTAGACTGGAAGGGGCTGTGTTAGCATGTTCACTTCAAGATCATCACACTATCATACTCGTTCTGTATCGTCGTGCTCACTTGTGTCCTGACTTGCAATTCCTAATGCTACTCTCAATTTGATCAAGCTGGCCTGTAGTTGGCTAGATGTTGTCTTTGCTTATTAGAAGGTTGTTTTAGAGCCTGGACACTTTGAGAATTAGAAGCCTTTTTGTTTGAACTTGGCTTTACAGTGGATGCTCACTTACTTCCAAGTCACTGTTATCTGAAGGAGTTTAATAAGCCACAAAGAGTGTGAGGAGAATTTTTTGAGGGGAGTGTAATCAGGAATAACCAGAATAGAAAGCTGGTTGTCTCTCCTCTCTTTTCCTGGCAGGAAGAATCAAGGGGAAGTAAGGACTGAATTTCTTCCTTGGTGATTCCAAGGAGAAGTAAGGACTGGATCTCTTCCAGATGCTTCGTAGGTTTCCTCATGGAAGGGACCCATTATTGGCTGCCTGTAACAGCCCTCTGCGCTTGTCTGGAACTGAACAGTGGGACTCCTGATCTTCTCCATCCCCTGTCGCTTGCAGTGCAGGAATGGAGAGCGGCTTCTCTCTGTGGAGAGAAGTGTCACTAGAGACTGTGACAGTGTGTGTGTGTTTGCTTGATACGGTCCTACAATGCATTTTTTTAAAACCGATTTACTGGCAAAGTCTATAAACTATTTTAAAAAGTTTCTATGCATCAAATCTAAAGTAGTGGCTTTTGTTTTAGATTTCATTCACCCAGATGGATTTTCAGGATTTGGGCAGACTTTGGACAGCTAACATGTTTAGCAAAAAATATTGAATTTAAGTAATTCTACTGAAATTGTAGAAGTGTTATTTTTCATTACTAAGAGATTTTTAAATCCTATACAACTGTAAAGGAAGGACAAGTAGTACTTATTTCCATTTAGAACATACTTTATATTTCTCTACAGTTGTCAAACTAATAAAATTTTGTATTTGTACAGGTAACCTTGTATCATTTGCTGAAGCTTTTTCAGTCTGATACTAATGCCATCCTGGGGAAGAAAACTGTAGTTTCGGAATTCTACGATGAAATGGTATGAAAATTTTTATTGTAATTCTCACTTTCTTTTGAAGAGTATTAGTGATTCCATGTATCTTTTTCTTCTTCATTAGATATTTCAAGATCCTACTGCAATGATGCAGCAGCTGTTAACGACATCTCGTCAACTAACACTAGGTGCTTATAAGCATGAAACAGAGTGTAAGTTCAAAATAATATAGTAAAGCTCTAATGCCCTTGTTTTAGTCATTTGTCTTTTGATTTGTCTGCATGTTCTCCTGGCAACAAACTCCAGGCATTTGGAGATGCTGACTACCTAGGTGAAGATGAGGCCCCATAAATTCAGGGTTCTAATTTGCCTTGTGTGTTGGGATGTGGGCATGTGTGAACTGTGTAAATTTTCTCCCTCAGGTCTGCTAGTTTTCAAGGCGTTTGTTGTTGTTGTTATATTGCATGTCATTATGGTTATGAGTGGAAAAGGGATCTATCTTGGATCTATGGAATGAAATTCCAGCCAGAATAGGAAGTGCATCACAGCGCATGGAAAAAGAAATGAAATATGAGAGCTCAGTACTCTATAATAGTCCATTTCTTTTGCTGTAATGATGTCCAATTTCTTTTTACTTGATCTTTAAATATGTTTTTACTGTGGAAGGTTATGTAGTGAGTTATACAGTTTCATCAGTAAAATTGATGGAGTAAATTAAAGGAACTTGTTTGGTTACTTCCTTACTTGTTCTTTACCATTGGTATCTGAGAATCTTTGAATGTCTAGGACTAATATTAATAGACTTTATTTTCAGCACATACACATTCAAATTACTGTTGTGATTTTTTAATATTTATTTTTTAATAATTGCAGGGTTTCATTCCAATATTTTTTTTTCTCTATTACCACCACAGTTGCAGATCTTGAAGTAAAAACCAGGGAGAAGTTAGAAGCTGCCAAAAAGAAAACTAGTTTTGAAATTGCTGAGCTTAAAGAAAGATTGAAAGCAAGTCGTGAAACTATCAACTGTTTAAAGAATGAAATTAGAAAACTTGAAGAAGATGATCAATCTAAAGATATGTGACAAGTGTTGACTTGGTAAAGAGGCCATACTGAAAATGCAAGACTTCAATCATGGAAATGTGTGCTCTCAAATTCCATAACTGAGACTGTGTATCCATGAATTTCAAATGATTGGAATATGTGGCAATCAATTTTATAAATGGAAGAGAAATGAAGAAAAATGAAACAAACTTTGTATCTCCTTTTTATAGTTAAAATCTGTGGATACTTACTGCTTTAATTCAAGGGAAAGAAGTCTTGGAGACCAGAGTAGTTACTTTTCTTGCATTTGAGTGGTATATGGCAACTTTGTATTAAGTCTTGTATTAGTTTAATGTGGTTTTACAGAATGCAGCTAATGTTTACTTTTTTACTTCTTTTTTTTCTACTGATTATTTAGAAATGCATCGCTAAAGCTGAAAATAAAATGAGATTTTTAATGCCTCTGTCCAGTTTTGGCCTTCAAGAATTATCATGCAGAGCATCCCCAAGATAAGGCAGATGCTTTTTATTTACCATATTGTGTTGTACTGTGTTCATTCTTAAGTAACCAGGAAAAATCGGGATGTGATCTTCTGCCGGAAAAGTTTCAGCCTCTTCAGCAGAGGCAGAAGACCCGACAGTGCTGACGCTGCCTTCAGTTTTGCCTCGAGATGCCTTGGCCCTTTCTTGCGCTCCTTCATGATGCCGTGTCGCAGTAACCCCTGCTCCCCACCCGGAGAAGCTGCTGCTGCTTTGAGAACCAAATCCTGGTTTCTTTGTGCTTAAGGCTGTCTTGGTTTGTGGAAGGCTGGGAACTGAAATGGTTTAAACGCTCTGAACTCTGTATGGAGATTGTTTCTTCAGTGCGGAAAAGCAACTGTTAAAACTTGACATGTCATCAGCACGTACTCAGTTTGTGGTATTACGTGTATATATGGATTGGGGAAAGTGGGGCTTTTTGTGTAAGTGGTGTCCTTAGGAGATCATAAAAGAGTTGGATCAGAAACTGGTCATTGAGCTGACAAAAGGGAAGGTGGCTGCTTTGGAATGGTTAAAGGTCTACAAAGTTGGAGGGATTTTTTGGTTATTTGGGGTTTTTGTTTGTTTGTTTTCCTTCCAAGTTTCTGCTCCTAGCAGACTCGCTCCATTTTCCGAGGCATTCTTTTAAGACCCTGCTGTGCATGCTGAAACAAAAATGGGATTGGAAAGCACTGTTCTGGTGGCATGCAACATTATTATGTTTTTATTTGTCACTTAAAGTAATTTCATATTGGTCCAAAGAAATGGAATATAAGGCATTTTCTCTTAGAGCTTTAGCTGACAAAAACAGATTCAAATCTCTGGAGTCCTGTTGCCAGTCTAGAACAGACTGCAAAGAATGGCATGGGAGGTAACCTATTACACGTAGGGTTCTTGTGCAGGAGCCTCAAGTGTTGTCCTTGCTTCCATTTTTAGGAACATCTAATAATGAGCCTAGTGTTCAGCTCTTGACAGCAGAGCCATGATCACTGCTTCTGTAGTAGCCATCAACATACTAGACCAGTGATGTAATTTTGGGTTTGCTCGGTGGCGAATGTGGCTTTTTTGTGTGTGTGAATTTCGCTTTCAGCCTTTTTGTATTTTTTTTTCCATTTGTGCTCTCCCTAAAGGAGGAGAAGGGCATACAGTGCTTGCTGGTTTCCCCAGTCAGTGCTAAGACAAGAAGCTAAAGTCTTAACTGTGCTGAGCAGTTACTGATGATTGCAAACAGAAAGAGTATTCTGCGCTTCACAAAATCCCTTAGGTTCTGTGCTTTCGTTAGGAAATACTTTCTTTGGATATTGAGGAAAAGCTTGAGCTGAGCTTTAGTAGGAAATAGGTATCATGGAAAGTCACAAAAATTATCTGGAGGATGTTCATCAGAATGAAAAGGGGTTTTGCTTGATAACAAATAGGAAAATGGCACCACCGTTCGGAGCAGTGTCCATGCGCTCCGCCGTTACAGGAGCCCGTGGGAGTGGCTGGGCTGGGACACAGGGACACAGGGACACAGGCAGCCTGCAGGGAAGGGGAGCTGAGCTGCCTTTCTGGCTGCCCTAGGAAAACCTCGTGTGCTTGCCAGGGTGCTGGCTTCAACGGTAGCTATTTATACTGCCGAGAGTGACTTTACACTATCATTTCATCTTGAATTATCGTTGTGATAATTGTCATTATGTGATAATTATTGTCATTATTGTGATAATTGTCGTTATGTAACTGGACTTAAATTCCTCCTACAGAGGAGGAAAAACGTCCCTCACTGCTGCAAGGTGCAGGCGGGTGTCACTAGCTTGTACAATAGTCTTGTCTAACTGCCGACGCTGAAGTTTTATGCTCCTTTTAAACTACCTCTTGGTGAGCAAAGCTGAAGCTGATCCCTCTTTATATCCTGAATACTGACAATTGTGCCAGCGAGAAATACTTTTTCTCTCAATGCATCAAACATACAAGGCTTGTAACTACTGGCACTCAGAGGTTTTAACCATTTTAGCTGGCACGTACCAATGGCCATCACAGTTGTTTTGGCCACCCACTGCTTACTCATTTCCTGCTCAGTACTTTTATTTTACTTTGTGCCTAGCTCTTGCTCTTGTATAGCTTGCACCTCTTCAATGGTAATTCAATGTTAATGTTTCTTTTTCTTTCTTTCTTTTTTTTTTTCCTCTCCCTCCTCCAGATACCAGGTTGTTTTCCAAACACCAGGTGGCAGATATGTGCAAAAGGTTCTCCAGTCTCAACAGCATTTCAATTAATGGGATTTTGGTAGTTCTATGAATTTCAGTTTGCTACTGGACAGTGCCTTTTTAAAAAAAATTATTTTTTTATGTTCTTCAAGCAATGTAAGAAGAGTAAGAAGAGAAAGTAGTAGTGACTGAACTGAGAGGCCAATGTCTACAAAAGCAGCACAATTTATTTTTATAATTCAGAATAAAGCCCCTTAGCCTCAGTGTGTTAGAAACTTAAAAATACTTGTTTTCACCTTTAACCCATCATTTTGCTGCTTCCCCCGGCTCAGTGTGCAGTAGGCAGCTCTTTGGGGCAAAGCCCCATTCTGAAGCTCATGAACACATCGCTGCTCATTCTGCCTTGCTCTGAGCGCTGATCACTGAACTGTGCCACTTGCCTTGAATCTTCATCAGCTGTTTGGAGAGCTTTTTCTGTAGTGGTAACTAAATAATCTGCACATTATAAAAGCCTTCGACAGCTTTGTGAGAGATTTAACCAGTTACTGCCCCAATTCCAAGGTTCTGAGGTCCTACAGCAGCGTGTGCCAGGGAGCAGGAGAGAAAAATGTTTGCAGCATTTGTTTACTTGGCAAGTGAGATAGCTTTTAAAATGCATTCTCAGATATCTGCTTACTTTGTCAGGGTGAGATTGTGTTTTGGTATGAATGAAAAAAATGCAGCTTGGGTACTCGACTAAATTCCATACTTTACTTGCAGTGCAAAATCACATGATCTTCCTCATAAATACCCCCCATTCCTTTTTTTTTTCTTTTTTTTTTAACATAATTTTGAGTTGTGAAGCTTCTATCACTAGTTAGTGCTTAATGACTACTGAGTCTTTAGCTTGTAAGTATGCTTTGAGGCACCAGACTAAAGACCGATTACTTCTCTGGGGAAGTATTAGGAGCTGGGGAAAGACAGTGAAGGCTTATGTCTTTAGGCAACTAACAGAAGTGACAGCTTCAAGCCTAAAATTCTGAGAATGAGCAGCAGTGAGGTATTGGGCTGGTCCATATGCTGATTCTACTGTAAGTACCAGAGCCAGCACGCAGCTTCCTTTTCCTGGACATGGTCACTAAGGCAAGAATTGCATAAAGTCTTGTCTGTTTTAATGTTGCGTTTCATTATTGAAAGCTTTTGAATTCCTGGTTGGCCTCTGTATTGTGTTTTTGAATGCTCCTGGTGAAGGGTTGGCCTTTGCACAGGTAGAGGAGCGGGTGCACAGTCCGAGGCTGAATCATTCATGTGTATATTTGCTGTCCAGAAACCTCGAGTTCTTTGTACAAAATGTACAAGTTAATTCACCTGGAATATAAAATATGCTTAAGAACAAGTCCACTTCAAGGAAAACAAAACAATCTGATACATATGCACCAGTGAAACATGTACTGCATTTTCATGATGAGATTTCATCTCTTAAGACTCTCACAGAGACAGTAATTTAGATGCCTAAAGACTTCCTAGGACTCAGGCTGTTAACTCATTTTGGTTGCTTTCCAGGCATTCATAGGTCACTGCTTAAAATCTACATTTCTCCAGGTCTGCAACTTTAGTTAGGTCCACGTGCTCAGAAATGTCTGTCCTGATTATAGTCGTGATATGTCCTCCCTAGAGCTCTGTTGCAGAGGTAATGGGGAGTAAAAGTCAGTTTTCAAGGGAGTGTGGTCAACTTTTTGATATTGTGGGGCTTGGTATTTCTGCGTGGAAGTCCAGTAGTTAAAGCACAGTCTGTAACTGTTTCTGACACAGTTTGAATCCGCATCTCCCCCTTTCTAGCAGTTACTAACCATGGGGTTAGTAACGTGAGAGCTCTGTCCACCGCTGCTCTTTAGGCTGAGCCATTGGCAGACAGATCCGCAAGCATTTTGGAGCGGGACAGTGAACAGGTAAAGGGAAATCACAGTCTAATTCAGTGGTTAAGGCATTGGACAAGACAAGTTGAACAGCTTTTCTTTTTGGACTTTGCCCTATGAATTCTGCCTTAGAAGACTACCACATGAAGAAGATTTTTTTTTTTTTTTTTTTTTTTAAAATGCATTCCTGGCCAAGGGGCTGGAACAGCGCATCTTCTCTCATTTCTGGGGTACTCTGTGGTCTGCTGGCTTGTGAACAGCATGGTAGCAGATTTCTTTGAGCTGAATAAAGCCATGATCTCTGCCAGGTGTTTATCCCTAAAAGAGGATTAGATCCTGAACAAATGAACCCGCCTCGGTCCGGTGGAATCCATTTTTCTTTAGCTTCAGAAGTTCCACAACCTTTTGTTGGCTGTAGAATGAACTTATCCCTCATTCCAATGGGAATCGCTGTCCTTGACAGGGGACAGGCACTACTGCATGGCGTGGCACAGGAGATACGACAGGCACTTACCTTAGAAGCCCCGCGGTGCGCAGCGTTTGGAAGCAGAGCGAGGTACAGGATGGGGCGCGAAGCGCAGCCCCGCGCGGC